AGTCTTTCTCAAGACTACACTCACCCGGACCATTACACTTCACAACAAACTGTCAGTCACCACCAACAACAGTCTTTCTCAAGACTACACTCACCTGGACCATTACACTTCACAACAAATTTCAACACCTGGGTTCAAACCATTTACTCTCATTATGAGTTTAAAAGATAAAATTTAAATTCTTGAGAGTCAGAAAATATAGCTTCAGTTATTACAGATTGCTTCTCAATTATCCGCAAAATATTTAGAAAAAATTGCCATTGCAACAAAATAGGGTTAGAAAATGCAAAGGGTGTGTGCCTATGAAACGCCTAGAAATGTCTAGGAATGTCCAAAAACAATTTTGTCTTAGCATTGATCTCGAGCTTGCTTTTGAGAAACACTGAAACTGTGTTAATAATAAGTTCTTCCTCTGATGTCAATTTCAGGCTGCGTCAATGGAACTTTCCAAGGATTACAAAGTAGAAATTCCCCAGTGTAAGCCGCTATCTCCCGGTGAGATTCTTGGCTGCACTTCTCCAAAACTGACTGATAAAGATGCATTTATGTAAGTATAGATCTCTGAGGAGATGGATACAAGTGATGCCTGTCTGGGGTTGAAGGTCCTACTCCATAGTTTTTTTGTCCACTTCCTTTTTTTGTGTTTTCATGGTTATGTAATTGGATTTTGAAAACTTGTGGTGAGATTTTAACAAAAAAATGACAATTCAAAATGCCACCTTTCTGATTAAAACACATTCTTTTTCACTTGTGGGCAGAGTTGCAAGAAAGTTTGTCACCAGAAACATTTGTTCTTTTTACCATTACCACTACTGATAATATCTATCAGGGTAATCGTGTACTTCATGACCGGCTGACATGTGTCGGTCGACTATCGCCCGACTGTTGGTTGACAGTTGCCTTGCTATCGGCCGTGTGTTGGCCAACACTCGACTGTCACTTTACCAACACTCCATTATCAAATCTTTAATCTTTCATCAACTTATTAAAACATAGACTTGAATCTTTAAAACAAAAAACTCGAATAAAAAGAACAAAAGTTTTTAACGATTTTTCCAGATAAGTTTTCCATCTATCAGGAGCATACTGAGAGGTGTGTCACCTGGACATGTGACTGTGTGCGCTTGCCTCTCCAACTCTGGTACTCTTGCTACACTGGTCACTGTTATCTATATGTGCTGAGATATTAAAAATATTGATTTTTCCCCAGCCTGTAAACTGGCCCAATATGTCTTTTGTTCTGAATCATTTTCTGTACCATCAAATTTGAGGGGTACATTTGAACATGTTTTCATTTCACGACAATTCCATTTTCAATAAAAGCCTTTAAAGTTGAAAATAAAACACCAATAAACATTTACCAGTTTATCAACAAGAATACTGTTAATCATGAAATTATTTGCTGACATGATTTATTCGTTATTTTTAGATATCTTGGTGATGGTCGATTTCATTTAGAAGCTGTCATGATTGCAAATCCTTCAATATCAGCCTATAGGTATATAACAAACTGCATCATATACCCTAAGTAGTGGTCCACTCTCATACTGTTGCCGTAAATTTGTTCTATAATATCGTAAAACTACTATGTAACAAGTATTATCATGTTATTTGATTGTAATATTATGTTATGACTTGAATATAGACATGTACTGAAACAACAATACACATGTAACGAAACGACTTGTAATGAAACCGACGTAATGAAATGACTGGCATTTCCTCTGATCAGTGAGTGGACTATTTAGACACAAGATGAAAAATATTTGCTTATATTTTTAGATATGATCCTTATGAAAAAGTATTTAGCAAAGAGTATTATGACATAGATGCCATGCATCAAGCCAGAAGGAACGCCATCCAGAAGGCTGTGTCAGCTAAGAAATATGGTCTTATATTAGGTACTCTTGGTCGTCAGGGCAACCCTAAAGTTATGCAGGTTTGTATGACATAAAATTACAATGTTACTGCAGTTTTCAATATTCTGTGAACTCCAACACTTCAACAGCTTGTTGTGAAATTGGTTTTGCACTGCTCCAGTCAAGAATTACCTATTGCTTTTGTTGGAGCTAAAAGCAACAGGTAATAGGTCTAAAAATTAAGTGTAATTTTCCCTGTTTCAGGCAATGTAGCATCATCCCAAATTTTTTGCTCTTTTCAATTTTATCCCTCTGTTTATTGAATAATATTTGTACTATCATTGTTTTCTTTCTCAGAATCTTGAAAACAAAATTAAGGCTGCAGGTTTGGAAGTTATAACAGTGTTATTATCTGAAATATTTCCTGACAAACTCCAGCTCTTTGAGGATGTTGATGCGTAAGTTATCCTTGGACTTTGGTGAATAATGTTTTTTAATAGAAAAAAGAAAAAACCCMAAAAAACTACATAAATGATCTTTCGTACTGAAACCTTGGTACTGTTTAAACTATTTTGTCTTATTAGATGGGTACAAGTCGCCTGCCCTCGTTTATCTATTGACTGGGGTACAGCATTTACAAAACCACTTCTTTCACCATATGAGGTAATTCTACCTTCTAAGACCGATTGGTCAGAGTGCCCAGTTCTCAAATGGTATGCGTTAGTTCTTAGGACTGGACCAATGTGGCCTAAGCCAGTTCTAAGTACTGATGGCATCAGTATACTTACAACTGTACCATTTAAGAACTGGCCCCTCGGACCAATTAGTTCAACTCAATGGGAAGCGCCCTAAATTTAATTTTYATATATCAGAGTGCCTTGCACTTCGCCTTACAGATATGCATGTACCTGGAACCTTTCGATTTGAACCTCACTTTTTTCAGGTTCTCAACTTTCTTACATCCAATTCTAGGTGGTTTTTTAACCAATCTTAGGTTTCATTATTATCCTCCTAATACTCTATCACATGTGCATGGCTCAGTGTTTCTTTATATAATTTTTCTAAATGGAAAAAACCTAGAGTTTTTAAAACAGTAGATTGACTTCTGTCAACATGTAGCTTCTTTCTCTATGGAGACGATGGGTTCCTATTGCCCATAAATTGAACCCATTGGTTAATTATTACCTTACTCTGTTACAAAGATACATCTAATAGACCTATTCCGAATTTGCTTGACTGACCACAAAACAATGATTTGAAGTTGAGATTGAACTTGATTCTTTTATTCATCAAGTTCGACCTCGACTTGAAACCATTGTTTTGTGACCAGTCAAGCGAATTCGGGAAAGGTCTATTGCTAAGAGGTTGACACATAAAAAAATCAAATTATTATAAAAGCCAATTAGGAATACAATTACTTCTTTTAATTGTTTTGTAGGCATCTGTTGCTCTGCAGGCAATAGAATGGCAAAAGGACTACCCAATGGATTTCTATTCCTACTCAAGTCTAGGACCCTGGACAGTGAACAATGAGATAAACAGACCTGCTGTGAAGGCCAGGAGAAAAAATAAATTACTAACGGAAAAGGTTATTGAAAGTAAAGACTTGAAGGAGTCAGGTATTGAATCAATAGATAAGGACATAGGGTGTGGAACAGGTGATACGTGTTGTGGCAAGTGTACTAAAGAAGCACCAAGCAAGCCTGAAGATAGCAAAGAGGGTTAGGAATGGATTCTGATACAAGGTTTGGAAAAAAAAAACAAGAAAGATGGTTGAATCAATAGATAAGGACACAGGGTGTGGTACAGGGGATACATGTTGTGGCAAGTGTACTAAAGAAGCACCAAGCAAGCTTGAAGACAGCAAATAGGGTTAGGAATGGATTCTGATACAAGGTTTGGAAAAAAAACAAGAGTGGTGGTTGAATCAATAGATAAGGACACAAGGTGTGGTACAGGTGATACATGTTGTGGCAAGTGTACTAAAGAAGCACCAAGCAAGCCTGAAGACAGCAAGGAGGGTTAGGAATGGATTGTGATACAAGGTCTGGAATGAAAACAAGAAAGATGGTTGAATCAATAGATAAGGACACAGGGTGTGGAACAGGTGATACATGTTGTGGCAAGTGTACTAAAGAAACACTAAGCAAGCCTGAAGATAGCAAAGAGGGTTAGGAATGGATTCTGATACAAGGTCTGGAATGAAAACAAGAAAGATGGTTGAATCAATAGATAAGAACACAGGGTGTGGAACAGATGATACATGTTGTGGCAAGTGTACTAAACAAGCACCAAGCCATTCATTGACCATATGATAGCCAAAAATCACTGGACAGGCCCATCACAAGCACCTTGAAAGGGGAGGTTTGTTTTCAACCAATCTTAGTTATGCCATTTCTTGAAAAACTCAAATAGCACAAAACATTATTTCGTACTCCTACARAGGKGGGGGGGGGGGGGGTTCATTCAAACCATCGAACCACCCCTAGCGAGGGGCCTGAAAAAAGTGGCAAATAACAAGATTGACAAAATAAACCAACTGACACTTTATTCATTCACAGTAATTAAATGCATTTTTATATATAAATCTGATACATAGATTTTAGAAAATGAGAAATTCAAGCTGATATATAATAAAGAGTATAAATTTATCTTTCTCAAAGCACTGCCCCTTTTTCTTTTTAACCATGGCAAGTAGAAATCTAAAATTAGGATTTTTAAGGGGGAGGGGGAACTATATATGTATAACGTAATTCACTCAATGCAATATTTATGTTGTGTAGTTCCAGAAATTATCCATACTCCACACTGGAATTTGGAATGGGGGGGAGGGGGTCGTCAGAGAAATAACAAAATTACAGAGTTTGTATGGAAGAAAATTGGAATTTCTGGGGGTAGGAGGGGTCTTAAAAAATTCCCCTCGGGGGGGGGGGGGGGGGATATGGATAATTTCTGGAAATACACATTGAAGGTGTTTGCCAGTCTATCAAGAATAGAACTGGTCTAAATTCCACTAGCCAACAAAAATAAAATTAAAACCTAAAGTTTTTTCTAAATATAAACTTCTATGAGATCTACATAGGGAAATAAATCCTACACTTTATGTATATCTACAATTTAAAAAACTTTTTTGAAAGTAATATAAAAGTTGCTCAAAGTAATAAAATATAGAACACTAATGTTCAAATATAATTATGCTCTTATCCTTATGGATCAAATCCTCGCCTGAGCATTAGAAAGGAGAAATGGAGGTAAAGGAAAGAGAGGAAGATAAAATCCATTCGTTCTGCACTTTCCTTTTTAATAAAGCTGTTTTATCTCTATTCAAATGCAATTATATCAAAATTATGAATTCTTATTTCAATGTATGAACACTTAATGAACAACCTCGGTTGTACTTGTCAAGGGCAAAACTTATGTGTACTTCAAGCAAGGTTCTCTTGCTTCTCTTTTTACTCTGGGTTTGGAGAGTGTACTTCAAGCAAGGTTCTCTTGCTTCTCTTTTTACTCTGGGTTTGGAGAATGAAAACTTAAAGGTATTAAAACATCTCAATCAAATCTCAAAAAGTCAGTACAAAGATTTTAAGAATTATGAATCAATCTCGTCTTCTCAGCATTAGCTAGTGGTATTATCTAAGTAATTTTTGTAGCTCATTCTTTAGTTCAGAGAGGGAGAAGCTAGCCAGGGTATCATGGCCTTGAATGCACCTTCGTACGGATAGCATTTATCACCTAGTTTGCAAACTCAGAGGTAGACTTCGTAAAGAGCTTCTCTCTTATGGAAAGTAGAGAGAAATTATTTTAAATTTGCAAATTCTTAAATCTATGTTAACTCTATGCTATCTAGCTTCTTCCCTAAAATATTTTCAGTCTTATAACACTGTAAGAACCACTAAATCCTGGTTCTCTTGCCGACACAAGCAAGGCTTAACTGCCCATATTTTATGATGCTATCGATGCTATGCTCAGGGTTTAATAGAACCCTTGCAGTACATGCATAATCCCAGTATACCTCAATGTGTAGGGAAAACAATTTCAAGAGAAAAGAATTATTTTCTTGCCTTCCAATTTGAGCTGCAATGGGAATTGCTGAAAGGAGTCTGGCTACTGTAACATCATTCACATCCTTCGTTTTCTTTTCATTCCCTTAAATCTAAAGTTATAGAAAGTACTTTCTGTATATATAGCTATCCGATACTGCGAAAATTGAATCTTGAAATTTCTACTCATCTTATTAAGCTGCTTGCTCCATTTCCAGTTTTGCTTTTTCAGCTTTATCATGGAAATGTTGATAGATTGTGTGTACATATGTTATTAAACTCTTGGGCTCAGGAACCTTTGAGCGCAGTACATCTTCCAATTCTAGGATTGGATCTAGACCCTCGGCACTGTGGAATAGGAACAGGGCAACAAAAATTAGTGCATGCAGTAGCACAAGACAACAGTACTGACCCCTATTGCCGAGGTTACAAGATCAGCCAGTCTTGCATGTGTAGTTCCAGAAAATATCCATACCCCCACCAGGGAGGGAATTAATCGTAAGAGGACCCCCTACCCCAGGAACTTCCAATTTTCTTCCATACAAATTCTGTAATTTTATTCTCTCTTTGACCCCCCTCTCCTCCAGAATTTCCAATTTCCTCCATAGGTGGGGCATGGGGTATTTTCTGGAACTAGACAATTCGAAGATCAAAGGGATACCCTCTTATGCAGTCGTCCCTAGGTTTGTTGCATAACACCATTCCCCATTATCATTCTTGGGAGTTAAGTTTAAGGAAATCTGCATAAAGGACAGAGAGGCATGACTGCTACCTAGAAGGCCAATATGCAGCTTCAGTTCTTTTTTGGACTTTACATAATTCTTAATTCTTATTTTTTTCAATAGTTAGTTACCCTTTCCACCACCCAAGTCCACTTTAAGAGAACTTCATAGTAATAGTTTTAAATCTTTTTTTTTTTCAAATCCAGGGGGGTTAGACATCCAATCAACCTACTGATCTGATTCCCCCCTTCATAGTAATATGCAATTGTTCACTTACTAAGCTGCATCGAAGGCTAGGGTCCAATTTCTCTTCCTGTCATTTGGGTCTAAAGTTTCGAAAGGAATAAGATCTGGAGAAAAGTAATGGAAAATAGCACACATGGCCATACCATCCGCCCAGCTTGTCGTATAGTTCTGTAGGTCGATTCCCTGTGTAAGGCAACAGAACATCTCAGCAACTTTTTTATTCAATTCGTTAGGGGAGTCAGGATGGCGTGGTGGTAAAACGCTCGCCTCTCACCTCTGAGCTCCAGGGTTGGTATCCCAGTAGCCACATGTGAGCTGAGTTGGTTGGTTCTCTTTCTGACTCCGAGGATTTTCTGGTCCGAGGGTTTTTTCTCCCTCCTCTCAAATCAACCCTAACTAATCCAAACTGGTTAGAGCAGTGCTCCGGGGTCATACATGGACTGTATAGCGGCTGCCAGAGGCGCCTTCACATGCTTTCAGTTTGACCCCGTTGAGCTGCGCAACTGCTGTACTTGTGGTGGCGATTAGGGATGACGAGATTTTTTGTTCGTGAGAAATTTTATAATAACTTTTGTTTTCACAAAAAGAGGATTTTGTACGAATGTGAAACCTCGAGCACAGGTCCAGATACGTGTGCCATGTAGCTAGTATTTGGCAAGTCGTAATTCTTAGTTTTGATGGAACAAGTTGATTGTTTCCTACGCTAATACTTTTTTCCCCATAAAATTGTAGTTTAACTTACGTATCCTCGAGTCTTTCTTCTGCACCATTCTAGTAAGGCATTTACTGCTGTATTGGGTGATTGGAAGGTTTTCTTCGTTCCGGCCCTAAAACGAATATTAGGTCCAAAAAAAAACTTTAGCTTGGGCATAATTCTATCTCATTTCATACCAGGTGTCATTCCCTTGAGTTTCATTTCTTTGTTTAACGTGAAAAACACATGAATATGGAAGACGACACAAACAACGAACCTATTCTGTTGATTCTGGATTCTATTTTGTTTGTTATGGATGAATAGAATGAATATTTGCTCAAATAGTAGAGAACTGTGAAAAGAGCTCATCTTCGATAGAAAACGGAGTTACTAGCACAACACGACTTACGACTTGGGATTTTGCGCTTCGAGTTTTTCTTTGAAAGCGTTTCTTTGATCTTTGACGTTTTTGAAGGCCGCTGCTTTGGCTTGCATTCTTTCTTTTTTCTTCTTTGCCAACTCTGCTTCGATGCTCCTTGCTCCTGTGTAGAGATCAAAATGGACTTTTTTTGTAACTCTGCCGGTTGATTAATAACTTTCGTCGATAGTTTTTTTTATTTCGTACTAGTTTATATTAAGATAATCAGAAAGTGGTCGAAATGGTTTTGAAATAATAAACCAGTCTCGTGATCAAATTTCCCAAACAAACCGTTTCGATACTAAGATTCTCAAAAGTGAAATGAATTGATCGTGAAAAGAAAAAATAGTGAAAATGAATGTTATTATTTATTATTAAAAAACCTTGGACTGACCCTTCGGTGAGGTTTGCTCCATACATATAACATAATTATGTTGATTTTTGCGGATTGAAGAATAAGATAAAGATGAAAACGTTCTGTTAGAAACAAAATTTGCCACTCGTGCAGCATCGARAAAAAAATWTTTTTTTTCAATCCTGGGACTTGCCTGTTTGCATGATACACACATATTTATGTTTTATTATTGGTTTCTATATACACCTATTTCAGAAATCGTTGTCCCAGCAAAAGCCTCAAGCAAGAAGCCAAGACCGCAGAGAACGCCGGTACTTTTAGCTGTAATTAGTTTATTCATGGTGCATTTTCATTTATTGACTTCACAAATTGCTCCAAGCAAGGCTGCTTGAGATGATAATTAATATTGAGCTATAGCGACTTGAATGAACCATGAATAAATCAATTATAATTAAAAGTACCGACGTCCACCGGCGCCTTGGCTTGTTATTTGAGGCTCTTGGTGCGACAACGATCTTCGAAATAGGTGTATATAGAAATAACGAGAAGCTAATCACTTTTGTACTAGAACTGTATCCCCAAATAACTATTTTCAATTTGGTTTCTATGTGTTACTAACCAGCTCTGCCCGTGCCTCCAGAACGTGTTGTCGTTGTCTTGGTAAAGGTGGTTGACCCACCCGGGCCATGTTTTTCGGTCGTTTTTGTTGTGGTGGTTGTGGATCCTGTTGACATACAAAAATCCCAAAATATTACTTTCTGCTTCTCGATCCCGCATAGTTTTTTTATGTACACAGGAATTTCGTTTGCGTTCGAAACTGGCTAAAAAAGACACGTACGTAGCTATTGAACAAAAGGTTTTGAAAACATTTTACTTCCTAGACAGTCGTGTTTGGTGTACCTATTTAGGAGTGTTCTGAATATGAGTAGAATTTGTTAGGTCTTTGCCTTGTGATTAGAGGGTTTTTCTTCGAGTTCGAGCCTCCAGTTTTCCTCCCTACGCGCTATTGACCTAACATGCGAAATTCCAATTCGATCTTTGAGTTAGCCGTG